CCATCACCTGCAACTCACGGCAGCCCAGCTCCAGGTTGAGCTGTTGTTCAGCATCTTAGCTGTAGAGGGCAGTGTCACTGGCCCTTATATGTGGGATCCGAACCGGGGCCCTCTGGCATCCCAAGCCAGCTCTTAACCATTGCACCACTCAGCCGGCCCAAGAATTTTTTTTTGCCAGACGATTTTTAAGCCTAATATTGAAAAGTAATTAATAATTATATTTCTAAAACTCAATTTCATTTATATCTAACTATATTTATGTGTGAAAAAATCCTAAAGGATACATGCCAAAATATTAATAGCACTGAAATAACAAGTGATTATTATTTATTTACTTTTTTGTATTCTTATCTATTTTGCAATGAGTTTATAATTTTCTTATATTTCAATTTTCTCTTTTGGGGAGGGGGTGCTCAATTTGATGAAAATAAATTCTTCCATACCTTGTGGTAAGAGTATGCATATACTATTTTTAGAATTCCTCACCTTGAATTTTACCATCATCCTCTCTCAAATGATCTCCTTCTAGGTAAATTATATCAAATATTAACAGCAATCAAGTTCAACAGGTTAACCTAGGATCCAAACCCTAACTGAAGTTAGATCAAATTAAAAACAACTAAACCCAAATTTGACTGCCACCATTTATTTAAAAAATAATATGAGTAAAGGACTATAGCAAATGATTCTCTAACAGTACTAGGCTGATTATCTTGTATATGTAAAGTACCAAATAGTCACACCAAGAGGTGTTTGTCACTGGGATTCAGAAATCTGTACCAATGCCAAGAGCCTGCCCCTTCCAAAGTCAGTCTCATCTGTACTGCCAAGAAACCTCAGCTTTAAGTACAAGTCACTCCTTACAACATCTCAGTTCTGGATATTTCCAGGTGAGAAAGAACAGGCAATGGATTCAAGAAGAATGGGGCTTTTCAACACCAACTTCACCCAATGGTTAAGTTAGGAATACTGATTATCAATTTCCTCATCTGTAAAACAGGGATAATAAAAACCACCTTGTGATGTTGCTCCAAGGACAGGAGATAATGTGTATGGTTAGTGTCTATAATGGGTAGCAGATAAATTATTATGATAGACCTGGTATGCCTATGAGATAATGTGAGTTCTTCCTTTTGATGCTAATGCTAGAGAGAGTCCACTATAGTTAACACAAATTGCATATCTGAAAATAACTGTTTGCCTGTGGGTGTACAGGATGGCTGAAATCTGGAAGCAAGGAAGTAGGTTTCCCAACACCTCCCTTGCCTGCCTTGTACCCTCTGAGTCTACTTCATGCTACTCCTGACAGCCCCTGCTATGACATCATCCCCCAAGAAGGAGAGCTGGGCTGCAGGGGCTTATAAGGTTCCCATTTCAATGCACGCATTCCTTCCTGCCATTGAATAGATAAAGTAGGTAAATGGAGAGTTTCTGGCTCATTTTATTAATTTTCAAATTGGCAATAGAGCTACAGGCAAAAGCAGGCTAAGAAGAACAGTATCATTTAAGAAAATACTAATGAGTCAGGTTGAATTTTGCATTTCCAAACAAAGCCAAGAGAAATTTGCATTGTGTATTAATAACACTTACTTCTGTCCTTTTCTTTTAGGGAAAGATTTTGTTGATAAGTCTCCTCCCCTCCAAACTGCCCCCCACTTCTCTGCAGTGAGGTGGAAATTCTTCACTTGACACCTGTGACTGGGGTTTCCAGTATCATTTGAGGAAAGGAGATCTTTATCACAAAGAGACAGCTCAACCCAGCAACCATAAAACAGGCACCTGGCAGGCAATTTTCTAATATAACAGCAAATTATTTTAAATAAATTTGATCCAATAACCAAAAGAACATGAAGGAGTGGAGACTACTATGACGAGAGATCCACCTCTCCAAGACCACCAGCACAGGGAGGAAAGCACTGCAGAGATCCTGTACACAGCCCGCCTTGGTGCTTGTACAGTCCTTACCTGACAGTCAAAGTCCTGGAAGTTTCGTGTACCATTCTGTCAACAGAAGGCAGAAAATACAGTCAGTTTCCCCATGTGGCTTCCCCAAATGTGCAACAAATTCAGTTCACAGTGAAAGCAGCGTATGTGCAGCCTCGGCTGCCATGAAACTAAAATGGTCCTTCTCATCAAAAGGCTTCAAAGGCAGAGAGGGTTCCTAACATGTATTAGTAAAAGGTGAGTCTTTAGAGGTGAGATTACACTTTGGTGGGCATCCTATGAAGATATAGGAAAGGAGCCTGCTTTCCCAATAAAGCTTGTAACTTCTTGCCTCCCTGTCTAAGGAGAGCAGTGAGAACTTGGGGGTAAGATGTGGATCAGAGTCTGAGAGCACCCTTAGAACCCACAAAGAAGCACCTGGGAGGAGGGAGTTGGGAGGCCAACCCTGAGAGGAGAAAAGGAGGGTGGGGGCCAAAGTGCCCAGAACCAGGAATTAAAGAAATGATTAAGAACAGAACAAAGACATAGGTGGGTCAGAAATGGAAGACTTTAACAAGGAAAAAAGGCAGTGTCACTGAAGGAGAGGAAAAAAAAAAAAAAAGATATGCCTAATATGCTGGCATATCTATTGCATCTTATGAAACTGCTGATAGGAAAAAGGAAAAATCACTGAATCATTTAAAAACTAGAACATCATCAAAAGACCCAAGGAGAATTCACCAAGCTTCTAAAAAGAGATTATATCATAGTAATGTTTGATTGGGGGGGGAAAATCAGTGGGGATGACTTGGAAGCATTTTTGTAGCATTTCGGATGCCAGAGTTGCAAGAATATGACATAAAGGTAAAAAAAGGATAATGAGTGATGTGTTTGGTAGGGAGAAAAAAAACCTTCTAACTTGATTTTTTTCATAAAGTAAAGCCCTTCCTCTGAAAAACAAACCTCTCTTTATTTAAAAACTGTTTTCATAAAAAATCCATTCTGTCTACCAATGGCTTCCAAAAGGTGTGGGGCTGCTAATGTGCACCTTCCCCAAAGCTGCCCCTCCAGACATCTAGATATCTGATCCCAACGGAATACTAAGTAGCCCCATCTCCCTTCGAGATCCTTGTAGAAACAGTTCTATATCCCACTACCCACACTGTTGGCAGGACAAAACAAAGCACAGCCCAGTGTGGTAAAAAAAACACCCAAAGAAACAAACTGCCCATGAGAGGAACTAGTAGAACCAGCTGGGATGCTCTATAGCAGCACTATCTAGTATGGCAGTCATTAGTCAGTCACACGTGACGATTTAAATAATTTAAAATTCAGGTTTTCGGTCACAGTAGCCATACTTCAAGTGCTCAACAGACACACATAGCTGGTGGCAACTGTATTACTGGGCAGCAGAGATACAGAACATTTCTATTACTGCAGAAACTTCTACGGGACAGCGTTGATCTAGAGACAGAAAGCTTTTGAAAGAATAAGGTTATGGATGAGCAGCCCTTACTTCTCTAAAGGTGGCAGGACAATCACAATAGATGACCAATCACAGAAAGACTGCAGTTGACACTGAGAACACAAAAGAGTGGTAGAGACAGCTATCCTGAAATATTATTCCTGGCATGAAACCAAGTTCACAAAAGAAAATCTGATGCAGTCACAACATGAAAAGACAACTGAGATATGGTGCAGATGGGGCTGGGGAGCACATTTCCAAGGAACGCTGTCATTGGCAAAGAGGATCATGATGTTCCATGGCTCCCATCAGCCCCATAAAATGCCTGAAAACTCCTTCACAGAACTCACTGTGTTTCATTTCTAGTTAGGCTATGAGAAGCAGAAGCAAGGGCCCTTTCACGGCCGAGGGTAGATGACTTCAGGAGGCTATAAATGACCAGCTGGTGAGTCCCTGGTTCCTGATTCAACTTGCACCTTCCCCCAAATATAGCACAAGGCCTGGTATAAATCAGGTACGTGATATATATTCACAAAACGAATAAGCCAATATAACAAAATTAGATGCTGAAAGGTTTTTAGTAAGACTTTGGGTTAACAGCAAAAAATTCTATTGCATTCCAGTTTATGATATGATATGGTCATAAATGAAAATAAAGTATTGATAGGATACAAATGGTCTTTATAGTTTGACTTCAACTACCTTAAAATATGCACTAAAGGACTAGAAGAAAAAGACCAAAGCATGAACAATAGCAGCTATTTCTGAATAGAGATTAAAGGCGATTATAATTTTCTCTATACTTTTCTACAATGAGAACGCACTTCCCCTTTTGTTACTAGAAAACAACGATTTTGTATTTTTTGTAAATTACAAAAAATATGTTTGTAATTTAGTATTTTATAAAAAGATTCATTTAATCTTTTGAGGAATAATTTATGATGTCAAAGCAGACCATATTAGGGCTTTGATCTTACAGGGTTCCCAGAGGTTCCCTCAGAGATCATTTAGAAAGAGTAGAGAAAATCACTCTTGTCTGAACTAAAATCTTGGGTATGGAATACAGAGGCACAATTCTGATTTGGAAAGCAGCTGTTGCTGTCTGCATGAATTCCCCTTGCTCACAATCATGTGATCACAGACATGAGGCATTCTGTGAGGCCCCAAAACCTGGGATAAGCACAAAGGAAAATGCCAAAAGTTGGAAAGCGTTGATTTTCTCTAGAAACCAGAGTGATCTCTTCTTTGTTGAGTACCAAGCAAAAACAACTACATGCAGCTACACTCCCAGAAAAAAAGGTACTAATAATTGAAGGAAGGCTATCCAACACTTGTTTTCTTCGCCTTTTTTTTTTTTTTTTTTTTTTTAAAAGGTGCCAGACCCTCTTGGAGAACGGCTTCAGGCTTCATGAGCGATCGTCCTGGAGAAAGGATATCACTGGGTCTGTTGGACAGTATTTGGCACCCAGAGATTCTGAATGGAGATCATTAGCTGGGCCCCACCCAACTGTGATCAACTGAAGCCATATTCTCTGAACTCATTAAAAATTGACTACTGTTCATTGGGTGCATTCTGGAAGGAGAAAAATTTCCCTGAGGTCCTTTCCTGGAAACTTATTTGTCTCTGATATTTGGGGTACATTATTCCACTCTGACAAAACCTTTACTAGTTTCAAGTTCTGTGTGTTTTCTTTTTTCTTTCTGTCCATTTTTAAGACACCATTAATTCCATGTTCAGAGAGATTCTTGCACTAAGCAGAACTAAGTAACAGAAAGGGATTCAAGAAAAAAATTAAAATAATAGAATAATGGGGGGGCGGGGAGAGACAGAAAAAAGAGTAAGTCAAGGAAAAAGATAAACTACTACTGAAATTTGCAAAGTAGAAACCAGCTACAGGGGGGTATTTCCTGGTAGAGCCTCCTTGTGCCAAGTATAGAAGAAGGTAAATGAAGCAACTCCAGAAAGTAAATTAACAACAGGTAATTCTTTCAAATACAAGTCTGGAGAATAAGCAAAATACAACTAGGAACAGGCCAATGAATGAAGAGAAGTATGAAAAGGGAGGCAGGGGACAGAAAGTTTAAAAAACAAGTAATTGCTAAGCAGAAGAAAAGAAATGTAGTTTCCCAACATGAGATCTAGTCAAGAGGCATATATAGTTTCAGCAGAAAGCAGCAGATATAATGGAAGGAAGACAAGATACATAAGACCGTAGAAATATCTACCAATAAGAGAGATTTGGGATAAATCTACCTGTTCTGTGAACTTGAAAGGGGGGGGGGTTGTATCTGATTCACCACTCTATTCCCAGCCCTGGCACTTCGTAAATGCAATAAACTTCATTTTGTAGAGGATACGAGTATCTCAAAATAGAGATACTCAATTTGAATAAGAAATGTCAAAGGGAAAGGATTATATGCAATTGATGTGCAGGAATTAAAGAGAGGAAAAGGAGCTGTTACAACAGTAAAAATTTTAGAGACAAACTTATTTTTTTTTAAAAATCTGTCATAAAATATGGTATTTCTATTAAAAAAGACAAGAATCCTTACCAACAGAAAGTGAAAAGATGGGGAATTTTACAATCAGAAGGGTAAGACAAGCCCAGAAAATACTGTTTTTCTTCAGTAAGAGAGTAATATAATTAATTAATATAAATTAATAAATCAATGTTTTACAATCATCAGTAACCCATTTTTAAATAGAAATCTGTTCAAGCTGATGATCCAGAGACAAAAAATGAAAGTTCTAGATATTTGTGAGTAGGTGTTTGTGGGTGTAAGTGTATATATATTTTAAATATCGATATTATTACCTTCAAAAAATACTAATTAAAGAACTGAGACTTCATAAGGAAACTTATAAAGAGGTCAGATACTTGTATAATCATCTGCAGACTGATGAAAAAGTACAATTTTAACTTTAAAAAACCTCTACCTTAACATACGATCAGGCTAACAGCAGTGTGTGTCAGAACTCCTTGGGGACCCTGCAATAAGAACTCCTTGGGCGCCCTGCTGAGTTGTGGTGAAGGCTTGGGGCTCTTCCCACCATCTCCCACTGGTCTTGTAGCAGGTTGAGGAGTGTGTCACAGTAGCATCATTACTTAACTTGGGAAGTCACTTCCTGCTCCAGTCCCATCTAAATCGAAGGCATTTCTGATGACAAATGTGACAGTTAAGGGACACCCACCCTCTAGTGAGCAGATGTAGCACTTACTGAGTATTCTTTAATGAAAATGTCAACAAATCCGTTTTTAATTTTAATTTTTTTTTAAAGAAACCTTGGCGCTAAAGCTTTGCCTGTCTCTGCTGTCTAGAAGGTTACAAAAATGCTCATCCCTGGGTTCTGTCTCCTCCCTCCTCTCCTCACATTTCCAGTCACTAGTTAAAAGGGAAATCTTGAACCGTAATAGGGTCTACCTCACTTCCTACTGTAACAATCGAAAGAAAGTAAATAACTTGTTTCTGTTCTTCCTACTAAATATTTATTCCCTTTCTTGATACTTCCTCAACTCTGCCAGGCTAGTTGTGGCCTCCTTTACTTTCTCAAGCCTGGCTTCACAAGTACCTGAACCAACAGTAGGTAGAAGAGGGCAGAGAAAATGAAGCA